TGATGTAGGGGAACTAGGTGGGTGGAGAAGAATTGGGAGGGGATAAAGGAAATCCCAGGGCCTAGGAAATGTATCATAAAATGATCATAGTAAAAAGAGGTAGAAAAAAATCTCATTTGGTATGAGCAACAGAGACATATTATATGTTAGGTTCATTTGGGATATTGAAGATGGATTCAGAAGAATACAAAGCTTAGGAAATGAAGTTGTTAGTACACCTATGCTTTACTAGTTTAGAATAAATGTGTTAAACTTCACTGCAATTTATTATTGCTATATATACATGATATATAAACTTTCACATAACATATATCTCCCCTTGACGTTGAATTTCATCCATGTTGTAAGGCCTACATAAAAATATTTCAGGACTGGTTTTGTAACAACCATAAATGTGTAGTGCACTTCATCAATATTAGCTGAGTTTTAGCAGATTATTGTTCTTTTTTTCTTTGAAAGATTGTTGTTGTTACAAAGACAGATAGAGAGAGAGAAAGAGATACAGAGAGAGAAAACTGTTCTGTCTGCTGGTTCACTCCCCAAGTGACAACAAAGGCCAGAGTTGAGCCGATCTGAAACCAGAGGTCAGGAGCTTGTTGTGGGTCTATCACACAGCTGCAGGGTCCCAAGGCTTTGGGCTGTCCTTGCCTGCATTCCCAGAGCTGAAGCAAGAAGTTGGATGGGAAGTAGAGCAGCCAGGATATGAATATAGGATCCCGGTAAGGTTTTAGCTAGTACACTATTGCCCCCGGCCCTACTGTACCCTTTTTTTTAACAGGAGTGGAACAATAATGTTGGTATGACAATGACAAGAAAAAAACCTCAGTGGTAGCTTTGAGAAATCTAATTTTAATTCTAAGATTCTGATATAGCAAGAGGTTAATTATAAATTATCTATGTGTGTATGTGTAAATGTGTGTATGTGTGTGTATGTGTAAAAGCTGCTTTACAAGGATTCCTGTACAAGGATCAAATCTGAGATATTTTGCTCTGTGTGAGTACCTTTTTCAGTTTTGGAATAAGTAGGTCCAGTACAGTGGCATAGCACATTAATTATCTGCCTGTGGTTCTGGCATTCCATGTGGGTGCTGGTTTGGGTCCAAGCTGTGCCATTTCTAATCCAGCTCCCAGTTGATGGCCTTGGACACAAACAGGGGATGGTGGATGGACTTTTTCCTTCCATTTTCCCTTCCCTGAGCACATATGAAAAACTGGATACAATTGCACAGCGTTGTGGTGTGAGAATGATTGGTCACTAAAGAAATCAAGTGTACCATGCTCAAAAGCAAGATTTTTGGCTATATATTATATAGCAGAACATTTTGTGATAGCATTATTGTGAATTTTTGAGAATTGAGTAGCAGCAATTGTACTACAGTTATTTTGTTTAACAGAATCTCTAAGTAGAATATCATCTGAGCCTTTTTTGAGGCCACAATAAGAGCCTATTGAAAAGTCTGGAGAATGTTGTAGCTGTTCATCAAATGTTAATTCTGTAATTTGATGTGCAAGTCCTCTGGCCCATCAGGGAAGGCTCTGTGGCCTGTGGTAATCGTAAGTGAGCTTCCTCCAAGGAGAGTGAACAGTTTCCGAATTTGGCTGTGGGGAGCATAGGCAGTAGAGTAGTGGGCACTCCAGGGATGGCAGCTGTGTGTCTGAATATTGCCATCAAGTAGGCAGAAGGAATCAAAGTATAATTAGATTAGTGTCTCCTTTTATTTTGTTGTGTTGTTTTGGTTTTGTTTTTCAATTGAGAGGCAGATAGCTCTCTCCTCTACCAGTCCACTCCCCAAATGCCTGTGAGGCTGAAGCTGGGCTAGGTTGAAGTCGGGAACCAGGAGGTAATGCAGCTCTTCCCCCAAGGAAGCAGGAGACCAAGCAGAACCTTAGCTTGTGCTTGGGTTAGGGTCTGCATGATCGGGAATGTGTGATTGGGAACCCAAGCTGGGAGTCAGAAATTCCAGGCTCTCCTAAGTGGGATGTGTGTGCATTCTAACCTGCCTCTGTGAAGTGCTAAGTTGCATGCACACTGGGTTTATCCATTTTCCCAATTTTTAGGTGAAAATAGAGAATTAGAACATGGTGAGGGGAATCTTCAAATAATTTTTTTTTGTTTGTTTGTGTTTTGCTTTAACCACAGAAGATGAAGACCAGCTACAGTGTTCTGTATTAGCCGATCTGTAAATGTCCGAGCCACTGTCTGCAGAAGTAATTCTCTTGAAGATGAAGAAGGCAATACTAACTCTGAACACAAATGCCCTAACATCCTCAATCAAAAGACATGGATTAGCAGAATGGGTAAAAAAGCAGTGCCCATCTCTCTGTTTGCCTATTGGAGACAAAGCTAATCAACAAATATATGAAAGCTGAGTGTGAAAGGCTGGAAAAGCACATTTCATGCCAAAGGAAAAGAAGAAGGCCCAGTGTAGCCATTCAACTCTCAGAGGAGATAGACTTCATTGTGAAAAACATTCAAAGAGGTAAAGGGACACTGCATCATGACAAAGGGAGTCATCCACCAACAAGAAATAACAATGGTAAATGTATACACACCAAATGCAAGAGGACAGACCTAAGCATGAAGATAGATGATAGAACAATAATGGTGGGGGGAATCTCAGGACCCCATTAACTTCAATGCACAGATTCAATGGACAGATTCTCAACAAAGAAACAACAGATCTCACAGAGAACAAATGGACTTCCTTCCATCCCATAGACACAGAATATGCATGTTTTAGCTTTACATGAAGCCTTCTCCATGATCGACCATGTTATATGTCACGAAACATGCATCACCAACTTGAAAAACTTCAAATCATACCATGCATCTTCTCAGAGACTACAGAGTGAAACTAGAGATCGACAAATCCAAATAGCCCAGCAAATCTGTAAACTCTCGGAAGATAAAGAAAATGGTATTGTGAAAAGGCAGTAGGTGAGACAACAAATTAAAGACGAAATTTAAAAATGTCTTGAAGCACATGAAAGCTCAGACACAACCTACCAAAACCTGTGGGACACTGCCAAGGCAGTTTCAAGAGGTAAATTTATGGCAGTTGGTGCCTACACTGGTAGAAAAGAAAGATTTCCGACAAATGCGCTAAGTATACACCTGAACGAGATGGAAAACAACAGCAAAGCAACAGCAAAAAGGCAAGAATCAAAATGAGAAGGAATAAATCAAAAGAGAGTAAGAGAGCAACAGACAAAATCAGTGAGTCAAAGAGTTGGTTCTTTGAGAAAATAAACAGAATAGACATCCCACTGATCCAAGTGACCAAAAAACAAACAAAAAAACCCTGAGGGGGTAAAAAATTAGTATGATCACATATAAAAACTGGAACATGACAGCAGATACTTTAGCCACATGCAGAATAATCAAATTACTACAAACAACTATATGCCATCACATCAGAAGGATTCCTGGAAATGGATAGATTCCTGGACTTGTAGCGTCTGCCAAAACTAAGTCATGACGCAACAGAAAAATCTAAATAAACCTACAATCAAGGCAGAGATTGAATCAGTCATTAGGGCCTGCCAAGAAAGAAAAAGGCCAGGTTCAGACAGATTCATTTGCTCTTTCTTAATTTTTTAAGATTGATTGATTTTTATTTCAAAGATATATGAGGGGAAACAAAGAGGAAGATGTTCCATCCTCTGATGTACTCCCCAGGCAGCCACATTGGCTGGAGCTGTGCCAGTCTGAAACCAGGATCTTAGAGCATCATCTGTGACTCGCATGAGGGTATGGGGTTCTAAGGGTTTGGGATGTCCTTGATTGCTCCCCGAGGCCATAAGCATTGAACTTGATGCTAAACGGGGCCACCAGGATTACACCCAGTGCCTAAGTGAGACTGGCTCTTGTTTCCATTGGTAGTTTTTTAGTTTCAAATCCAGTTATTTTTGCTGTGAATTTTTACCTTTTTGTACTTTCTGTTCATTTGTGTGTTTTTCAAGAAGTCCCTGTGACTCATTAACTGATCATTGATATGAGACATTTTGATTGTAAGGACCTGGTGTTGTAATTGTCCTTTACAACACTAGTTTTGCTACATGTCATGGGCATTGATGTTCTTGTTTTTGTGGTCATTCTTGTTTATGTGGTTATTTCTTCAGCAATACTTGGGTCATGCATTAGCATCAGTTTCTACAACAAGGTTTTTGATTTTTGTTTCCATCGCTTTAGCAACACATTGGTCATTCTGTAAGCGTGTTGTTTAAATTCGTGTTTGTGTAAATTCCTTTTTTCACCCCACTGTAGAATTTTTTCTCTGTCTCTGTGCTTAAAGGGGTGTATGATAGACTTGTAGCAGCGACTGGCAAGTCCCGATGTGGAGACCTAGGGCAGGATGTATCTCTGTATCGAGACCAAAGATGGAGTTCCATTGAAACTGTTGAATATATCCCGACAGTAGGATGCTGGACTCTGTGATACTGTCCATGCCTACAGTGTCTGGAAACACTTCAGTAGCATAATGATGGACTTAGGACTGTTGATGAAAGACTACCCCTTGCATTAGTAGAAGGGGAATGAGTAGCCGGGGGGATGGTTTGAAAGAGGGGATGGCAAATCCCAGAGCCTGTGGAACTGTGTCATCAAATAAGGCATGAGAATCACCTCTAGCAGTGTTTTCAAACTCTCAGAAATCACCCGGTAAAGTCACTGGGAATTCTGGTTCAGTTGAAATGGGATAGAAGCTGAGGTTCTCAGTGTTTACTAGCCCCAAAAGGAAGGGGTGTTATTCCACAAACTGCAGTTTTGAGTATCAAGAAGCTACATCTGAAGGATTTTCTTTTCTCTCTCTCTCTTTTTTTTTTTGTTGATTACATTGCATTATGTGACACAGTGTTATAGGCATTGGGTTTCCCCGCTCCCCCCCTTAACCTCCTCCCCCCCCCCCATGGTGGATTCCTCCACCTTGTTGCATTACCACAGTTCAAATTCAGTTGAAATTCTTTCATTGCAAGCATCTGCCAAGCATAGAGTCCAGCATCTTTTTGTCCAGATAAGTTCAGCGGTTTCTTGGGGAGACCATCTCTGGTTTGAAGGTAGAGCTGGCACAGTATTATCCCGATCAATTAAAAGCCCGACATTACATCAGTAACAATTTGTAACGTTATGGAGTTAGTTGACATGGTATTGAGTAACCAATGTGTTAAAAGAGAGAAAAAAACAGAATGCGAGTTCTGAACCACATCCTGTGATTTCTACATTGACATTTCAATTATTAGTTTATATACAACCGGGTTCTATACACCTTAAAATGGCTATAGATTACTATTCAGCTGTCTCATGTCTATTTTCATTTTAGTATTTCGTAATTTATAGCATTAGAGCATGAATTTGCTAAACCTGGGTGTTTTTCAGGTAGTCTAACTCTAACAACACATATGTCAACAGTTTAGGTGAACAGTTTTAGGAGGGGTGTGCAGAGAAATCCCCACTACAGTTTTGTTTCCTGTGTGGTTCTAAGCTTTCCTTGCTGTTCTCTATCTATTCTAGTTTTTTGTTTATTTGTTTATATGTTTGTTTTGAGGGGTTTCTGGAGTGATCCTGATGGTCATTATGAGAGAGTGTGTGGACCCAAACTCGGAACCAGGCAAGGACCTGAGAAAGCTCCTCTTCCTAGTCCTGAAGGAAGTTTACTGTTCTGTTTCTGTAGACCGCTCAGGGCTCCTGGTTGTCTTTCCAATAAGCTTGGATCCTGCAAGGCAGGATTTGGCCTCTTCCATCCCACTTGGGAGATCCAAATGGGGGTGGGTGACCTCAGAGTTCTCAGCCTCCAAAGGCACTCCAATTCCCCGTGGTATCCTTGGCGATTGGGAAGAGGCTAAGTCGGAAGGAATTTTACTTCTAGAACTCTTGTTATTATGTTGCATAGAGATAGAGGGTGCACATTTTTGAAGGAGCCTGCTAATGATCTGAAGTGATTCTTTGATGACTTGCCTTGCAAAATCCTGGCTATCATGTGTAAAGTTCCCTTTAATTGTGTGCGGTGGCAGGATGCTTTCTTGTTTGTGATCTTCTTGATGATGACAACCACCCTTCCACCTCTGCATGTTTTTATTTAGTTCCATTTGACTCTTAGGATTATCAGTTGACCATTTGAGGAAGAATCTGTTCAGAAACATGCTTAAACTCAAAAACACAGTGATTCCCAAACACGAGGCTTTAGCAGATACTGTGCTTCCTGAATGTTGAAATTAGCTTTCAAGACTTTAGTTACCTGTTTCACTTGTGCTTTAAAAATGTTCTAAATTTGCAAAAATATCAGAATGATCACTGAATTACATTAAGGTTGTGAGTTTTGTCATGTTTGTCATTGAATGGTTTTTGAAAAGTTCCATAAGTATTCCAGAAATACAAATTGTGGCAAGATTTATTTCCTTGAGATTCAATTTTTAAAACTTTCAATTTTGAAATTCATTGTGATAAGACCTGTCTAATTAAAATCATTAGCTGGACAAGATACTTTCTTTCAACTGATAATAAATTCCCCAAGTCCATGTGCATCCAGAGCTCTTATTAAGAACTTTATCGGGCCTGGTGCGGTGGCGCAAGTGGTTAAAGGTCCTCGCCTTGCACGCCCGGGATCTCATATGGGCGCCAGTTCTAATCCCGGCAGACGTGCTTTCCTTCCAGCTCCCTGCCTGTGGCCTGGGAAAGCAGTCCAGGATGGCCCAAAGCTGTGGGAACCTGCACCCGCGTGGGAGACCCGGAAGAGGCCCCTGGCTTCGGATTGGCATAGTATCAGCCCGTTGCGCTCACTTGGGGAGTGAATCATCGGACAGAAGATCTTCCTCTCTGTGTCTCCTCTCTGTATATCCGCTTTTCCAATGAAAAAATAATAAAAATAAATCTTTTAAAAAAAAGAACTTTATCTCCAGGTTTGAAGAAGCTGCAAGCCCAGTTGTCTGTGCTTACTGAAAAACAGCAGCAGAGGATACTGTGAGTTTGATTCCAAAGTGCAGTGGGCTCTGAATATTATAATATTCAGGAAAGTGTGTGGTAATAAACTGCTTGCTTAGATCACACAGGTATTTGATTCCCAAGCTGAAAAATAACTGCACACTATTATTGATTTCTTACAATAAAAGTTTCTGGTTTCTTATTTTAAAAATTTGTTGTTAATATCCTGTGAGTTTTGTTTGATATTGCCTTATATTATTGAAGCCTTTTTGTCATGTGCATGCATGATATCCTAAAAAGTGATTCTATACTGAAATTAAGTATCTTGTCCAAAACTACTCATTTGAAGTGGGATCATATTACACATTTGTGCTGTCTGATGTCAGACCATTGTAGAAGTATACCTATAGTATGTGTCAGTGCATGTATCTTGAATTGATTCAGTTGTTGTAGAATATTCTTCATGTTAAAAAATGAGTATGGGGTGAGTCTTTATATGTCAAAATTGATTGATTGATTGATTGATTCATGGATGTAATTATTTTCAAGGTAGAGACAGAATGAAAGATCACAGACCAGGCTGTGATTTGCTGTCCACTGCTTCACTGCTCAAGTGGCCAGTGGGGGATGGGCGAGACCAAAGGCTGGAACTCTAGCCAAGTCTCCCTCTGTTTCCTAAGCACATTAGCAGGGACCTGAATGTGCAGTGAAGAAACCAGGACTCCAGCAGGGAACCTATAGGATGCCTGCACAGCAGGGAGCAGCTTAACTGCAAGCAGCCTCTGTTCCCTTCCTCACTCAAGTGGCAGGTGGCTGGGATGGTGTGTAAGTATGGGCATGCAGGGGAGGGGGACTGCATTTAAATGTAGCTAGGCTTGTGTGAATTTCAAATGAAATGCTTGATTAGATTCCCAATTTTATTATAGAACATGTTTGTGTTAAAATAGGAGCTACACATTATTTGCTTAAAGTGAAGCACTCCTGAGGTTTAGAGTACTTGGATGTCCTTTTCAGGCTCAGTGCCAGTGCCCTTTAATGTAAAGCATTAGGCATTAAACAAGTGTATAGTTCTAAATGTTTTGACTATTATTCCATGGCTGGAACCTTCATTATTTTTAAGTAGTTTCTTTTTAAAAGATTTATTTATTTATTGGAAAAGAATTACAGGGAATAGGAGAGACACAGAGAGGGAGATCTTCTATCCACTTCCTTCCCCAAATGGCTGCAATGCCTGGAACTAAGCCAATCCAGTGCAGGAGCCAGGAGGTGCTTCCAAGTCTCCCACATGGGTAGAGGGTCTCAAGGAGTTGGGCCATCCTCTGTTGCTTTCACAGGTCACAAACAGGGAGCTGAATGGGAAGTGGAGCAGCCAGGATATTGCTTGAGTAATTTGGAAATACTGACAGCTGTGTGTGTGAGCATTAGTATGAGATACAATATTTCAGCCCTCCAGCAAACTTGCCGCTCTGTTTGAGGCTGCTGCCAAGTAGTTCAATGTGCTTTGTACCTTTTAGGGGAATATTGTGGACGGCAGGAAGCAGCTTATTTTGGATAGTCAGCATCATGTTATTCTTTCTGGTCTAGGAAGAAAAGCCTTTCCAAAACTCCAGAAACAGGTAAGATCGTGGATTGCTTTGGGACTGCCGATATTTGTGTCTTTGTAAAGGTATAGTTGGTTCAGGTGTTTATTTTGGGATTTAGGTGAAGGACTTTGACAAAAAGACCAGTTGATATAGAAATTTTTTTTTTTAATTTTAAAAGATGTCAGCATTTTTGTTCAGACTTCCAGGATCTTTGAGTTTCTGTCTACTAAATCTAGAATTCCTAGCTGTGGAAAGAATTCCTATGCTTAGTGGAAAGAGAAACATTCAGTGTATTTTCTATTTTTTTTCTCTTATTTTTGACAATTGTTACATAGTGAATTAGGGCACAAACATTCAAGTATATCTTCTTATTTACTGTAAGAGTACCACATCATGATAGAATTGCGGGTGGCACATGGCAAACACTAAGGGATGCTCCCTGGAGTTGTATGGCAGCTGGTGATAGCTTTGACTGTGCAGCCTTATTTTTCCTAAATTCTGTATTAAGCTTTCTTTCTTAATGATGCTGTTTAGAAGGCAGATTTATAGAGAGAAAAGGAGAGAGAGATGCTTTAGATTCTGTTCCATTCCTCAAATGAGCAGCATTTCCCTAAATCTCCAGGCAAAAGCCAGGAGTCCAGAATTCCTTCTGGGTCCTACATGTGGGTTTCAGGTCCGTGATTGCTTTGGCCATATTCCCCCTCATTCCTAGGTACATTAGCAGTGAGCTGGACCAAAAATGGATCAGCTAAGACTCCAACCAGTGCTCACATGGGATGCCAGCCTCACAGGGAGTGATTGAACCTGCTGAGCACTACAGCACTACAGCAGCTCCAGTGCTGTAGATCACAGGTGGAAACCATCTTTAGTGCAGAAGAGACAACTTGAGTAGAAGTACTTACACCTGTCACTGAGTGCCTAACTAAAACAATGGCAGCCACCCCCACCTCCCACTGCTCCCCATTTCCTAACTGGTTAAGAGAGCACCAGTGGGGAACATTGTCCCTGTATGTTCCCACTCATCAAGGAGCAGATACGGAAGGCTTAAAACCACAAGACCCTTCCAAAGACCCCTTGGTGTCTCTTTCTCTCTCTTTCCTTTCAAGAGGCAACCGTCCTGCTTTGTCCTGCAGAGCTGCTTTCCCCTTGCCTCTGCCTTCCCTGTCACCTGGTCCCTTTGCAGAGCCCTAACCAACAGTGCCCATCAAGAATGGAAGTAAGGCAAAGGTGCTTTCAGACTAAAGCAGAGTTCATTTCTATGTGTCCTTAGAATAATGGCAGCTGCTCAGTTTTTCCATTCATTCTGCATGGAAGTATTCAAGTCAACACAGAATGACAACAAGTCTCAATAAGAACAAATGGAACAACACCTGACCTATGCATTGCCCATAACTAGGAGAAGAATGTCAGATTTTCCCTAAGTGGAAACCTTGTTGAAGCAGGCCTTCTGAACTTTTTTTCAGTAGAGATTGAAGAGGCAAAAACAATGTATACAAAGGGTCTTAGAGAAGAAGAAAACCCTGAAAAGTTGTGGCAGGCCTGAGCAGTGTGAGAAGGGCAAGGACAGCGTCCATCTTGCCTCTAAGGTAGTGCCTCCTGTCAGGAATCACCTTTCAGATCTGCTCTGTAGCTGGATTGTGGTTATGTTGGCCCTGCGCAGCCCAAGCATGTCACATCCTAGGTCATCCATGCCACATATGCAACAAGGGATGCACTAATATTGGGATGGTAGAAGGAAGTAGGTGTTTATTTAGAAGCACAGAACCTGACAGCTGTCCTGTCACTGATTTCTGCATGGTGAAGGGGTTAAAGGTTAGGGATGTTACTGATTGAAGCTGGGCTATGGAGGTGTGTTCCTCTCCTGTGCAGGTCTCTGTGCTGGTGACTCTCTTGTTTGGCCAGTGGTATCAAGTGATTTTGAGAACTCTGTTGATTTCCAAGTGGGCTGCAGTCTGGAGCATAATGTGCAGATGGTAGTCACTTTTTTTTTTGCTTTTGCCTGGAGTTTCTGAAAACCTCTCTCAAAACAAGCCTGAGCACTGGGATGTTTCTATGGAGTAGACAAATCTACTTTAGAACGGGCTGGGCCTAGTGCACGATGTTTGTAGGGTTGCAGGGGTCTGAGAGATGGCCCAGGTGTGGACATGTGGGTACATGAGTGTTCCCGTCCAGGATTGGTGGTCTGGAAGTGCAGAGTGTATATCAGACCTGGGCCTCCTCAGAGGTCCGGCCAAGCACAATTGATCCTTCTACAACTCACAACTTTTCTACATCTTTCTGTCCTTGAGGAACATAGCATTTGAGCCATTGGTTGCTCTTTCTGGTACACATGAATGTTTTTTAGAAGAGATTGATTTGAGGAGCCAGAAGTCTGCTTGGCTTGCAGACCAAGCCTCCCATGGGCGATGGTTCCTGAGTGGCAGCAGCTCCAGTTAGAAACTAGCTGTCTGGTGTTGTGCTGGAGAAAGCCTCAGAGTGTGGTTCCAGTCCTTGCACACCTGCACATGTGCAGAGAACTCGAAGGAACCTCCAGTCCCCTGGCTTCAGAGTTTCCCAGATCTGGCTGCTGTGGCCATTTGGGGAGTGATCCAACAGGTGATGGAAGATCTTTGTCTCCTTTACTCTCTCCATGAACCTGCCTTTCAAGTATAAACACACAAAAGCAAAACCAACAAAATGTAGATCTTGGTCATGAGAAAATGATCCTTCTAGGAATGGCAGAATGACAGGGAGTGAAAGAGAGACAGAGATGTAGCATGTGCTGGGTCAGTCTTGAAATGGCAGGCAGGGCAGGGGCTGTGCTGAGCCAGAGTGAAGCCAGGGCTCAGGAGGTTTTTTAAGGTTTCCCATGTGTTGAGCCAAGTGGCCAGGGACCTAGTTGATTTTTTTTTTTTCTACTTGCCCATACCAAGGAGCAGGATACAAGCGGTGCAGTTGGGACTAGACTCAGTGCCCATGCATGAGGCTGGCATCAAGGAAGGTGTCTGCATGATGCATGGTGACACCGTGCTGGTCCCCAGGAAGTCCTACTGTCTGTCCTCCCCTCTCCCCCTCTCCCCTTCCCATGCCACACCCACCCTCAAGCAGAAATTGGTTGTTGAACGGTTCTACAGATACTCCTCCCAGCAGTTTCGGGATGTAAGAAACTTTATTAGGGCTCCATCTAGTGTTGTGGAGCTGGAGAGGTGGGGCCTGGCCTTCTCAGGTGCTGTCAGAGCCCTCCATGTCACTGGTGAGGTGAGCCAGTGGGAGATGGCTCCAAGAAGCCCTGTATCTTAGGCATGACTGGGAAGGCCCCACTGGTCCAGGTGTCTGCTGCCGTGGAATGCAGCTGCTCTAGGGCCTGTGATGGTGGCAGCCTGCACGGCCTTCTGGCCCTGCACCATGTCGATCTGCCCATTTTTGCCATCTCCTTGGTCGGACAGGTACTTCTTGGGCTTCTTGTCCTCCTTTATGGAGGTCTCAGGCTCGGGCATGGGCTCCGGCTTGGGCTCTGGCTCAGGCTCATGGTTGGCAGGCAGTTGCTGCTGAGAATTGTCAGCATAAGCTTTGGCCTGGCCTCTCAGGGTGTTGGTTTCAGTAACCAGGGCCGACTGTGTCATCATGGGCTGCTTCCCGCAATGTGTCAGTGTCCCCAGGTCAGTGGCCTTGGTGGCGCTGCTCAGGGCTCTGCATCCTGCTGCTGCTCCTGCTCCGGCTCCTCCGGCTCCTCCGGCTCCTCCTGCTCCTTTTCCTGTTGCTCCTGCTCCTCCAGCTCCGGCTTGAACTGCCGCCAGTGCTTGTGCTTCAGGCAGGCCTTGAGGCAGGTGAGACTCTTGGGACTGTGGAAGATGGTGGTGGTCCCCGTGGTGCTGGTGGTTGAACATGTCTTGTAAGGTCTGCAGTGTGCTCTGCAGGGCCCGTTCCTGCAGGTGTTTCTGGTGCAGGGCCAGCAGCACTGTGTCTTTCTCCTGCTGGAGCACGAGGATCTGCTTCAGGATGGCCTCTGTGGCACTGAAGAGCTGCTGGCATCGGTCTTCTTTTTCTTGGAGCAGCCACTCACGAGTGTGCAGCTCCTCCCTGAGTGCACAGGCAGCCAATGGGTCCTCTTGGATTGACGTGGGCCTCTCCGTGTTAGAGTCTTGGAGTGCCTCCTTCGTTTCCCAAACTGTATCAGGTCTTGTCTTGTGTTCTTGTATGCGTTGCTGAATCTCCATCTGCAGTGTGGACACGGCCTCTTCTAACTGGGTCACAGATTGCTTTAAGATTCTGTTCTCCTCCTCCTTCTGGACAAGGGTGCCCTGGAGCGTGCACAACTGCTGAGTTTTGTGTCTGAGCACCAGCCCTTTCCCTCGCACGAGCTTCTCTAGCTCCTGTTGTTTCTTCCTCATTTCCTCGAGTGCTGAAGACTCTGGGTCGTGTTGTGTCTCCAGTGACATGGTGTCAGTGGTGGGGCACGAGAGTGTGCTCAGGGTTTGCCGTAAAGTGTTATTTTCCTTCTCTTTGTCCTCGAGGCTCTTGTGGAGAGATCGTAGCTGCTTGTTTTTGGCCTGCATGAACAGGTCTTTTCCTTTGAGTAACTTTTGCAAGAAATGTTGTTTGTTTTCGAGTTGCTTGATCTGCAGAGACATTTGGTGTTGCTGCATCTCGAGTGTGGTGGTGGTGTTCTTGGAAGAAGGCATTGTGTGTGTTTGTTCCAGGAGGAGCGTGGCTGTGGCTTGTATTGGTGCGAGTGATGCTTTGAGTTTGTGGCTGGTCCCTTGGAGGAGTTGAGAAGACTCGCTTGATGTCCCAGGTTGCGTGAGCTCTGGAGACTCTTGTGTGAATGGTGTCCTGTGGGAGGCGTGCAGGGAAGCTTGGAGGTGTCTTAGGAGATCTTCTTTGGTGGGAGAAAAGTTGCCAAGAGTCTGCGGGACTTGGCGGGATTGATCCTGAATCTCTGTGGCTCTGACGTTGTTGTTGTGGAGATTGTGTGCCAAGTGAGTGTGACTCAGTGTGTCCTGGCCGACGTGGTGTGTGGTGTCAAGAAGCCTCCGGAAGTTGGCGAGGTTGGCCATGGATTGTTCGAGCGTCTCGTTTACCTGCTGGATCTCTGCGAGCTGGTTCTGCAGAGCGTGCACCTCCTTCTTTTTGTCTGTGAGAAAAAGCTCCCTGCCCTTGGCTAGCTTGTGTAAGAGCTGTTCCTTCTTCTGGAGCCGTTTTATCTCAAGGGCCACTTGCCGGTTTTGTGTATCCACGTGTGTGGCTTCTCTCACGACCTGACATATTGTGTGGATGCTTTCCCGGAGGAGCCTGATTGTTTCATCTTTGGTGGCTAGTGATGTCTTGAGTTTTTGATTCTCCTGCAGGAGCCACTGAGGAGGCTCACAGCAGGCCAGAGGGTTAGTTTCTTGAGGAAACATTGGCTTGTTGGAGGCTTCTGGTAGAGGCTTGGGCGTTCTGAGGAGATGCTCTCCGGTGGGAAAGTGTCCAAGAGTTTGCAGGTGCTGGGCATCTTCCTTTCTCAGCTTTCCCGCTTCTGTTTTGTGCTCTGCGTGGTGATGGGTGCAGTTGGTGCTGAAGAGTTCTGATTCGATTGTGAATTGATCCAGTGTTTGGGGTAAGGTGTGTTGAGTGGGGCTGTGCTGGTTGTTTTGCAGCTCCCATGCCTGATAGCATGCTTCCACGTCTGTGGAGACACTTGTCAGCATATGCTCTTCACATCCTTGCAGGTCCTTCCCCCATACACCTTTAACAAGTCTATGTGTGAAATAGCTGCTGATGTCCTTTGCCTGTCTCAGGTAGTGGCCTAGCCTGGTGCCTAGGCCACGGATCCCTGAGAACATACCTGTGGGTCGCTGAACTGGACTGGAGCGCTCAGAGAGCATCCAGCTCAGTTGGACAGTCCCACAAAATGTCACGGGAGCAGTGCATGCTGGGTCTTATATAGGCAGCTCACAATGGGCGTTGGTTAGCAACAAGCTGTTGCCTAGCGATGCACGGAACTCAGGCATGGGCCACGGCCCTCCCCCTCCAAGACCATTAGCTCTTTGGCCCTCTTCATAGACCTCATCAGGCCCTGAAAGCCCCCAAATGAACTGTCCCTCCCCTAGAGTGTGTGAGCATTTATAGGTATGAATAACACAGGGCCTATGCTTCCAGTGCTCCCCCTACACTTTCTTGGGGAGACCTTTTTGTTCTGAAGGTGGAGCCAGCAGAATATCATTCCAACAATTAAAAGCCCTGATGTAACATTAGCAACAATTTTTAACATTATGGAATTAATTGACATGGTATTGAGTAACTGGTATGTTAAAAAAGATGCAAGTTCTTAACCACATCCTGTGACTTCTGCATTGATGTTTCAATTTTAGTTATATACAACTGGATTCTATACAGGTTAAAATGGCTATAGATTACTATTTAGCTGTGTCGTGTCTATTCTCATTTTAGTATTTAGCAGTTTAGAGCATTGGAACATGATTTTGCAGAACCTGGCTGTTTTTCAGGTAGTCTAAACTGGTTTATTACTCTGACATGTGTCAAAAGTTTAGGTGCAGAACAGTTTTAGGAGGGGTGTGCAGAGAAATCTTCAGTCCCCAGTGAGGAACAACTAATCTTTGTGTCCCTCCTAGAGAGGTATAAGTGAATCCACACTGACCATTTCCTTTCTGATTTTCACCTTTCCTTGCTGTTCTCTGTCTATCCTAGATTTTTTGTTTGTCTTTTTGTTTGAGGGGTTTCTGGAGTGATCCTGATGGTCATTGCAAGAGAGGGTGGGAACCTAAATTTGGAACCAGGCAAGGACCGGATAAAGCTCCTCTCTGTAGTCACGAAGGAAGTTTACTGTTCTGTTTTTGCGGACCGCACAGAGTTCCTGGCTGTTGTTCCAATGACCGTGGATCCTTTCTTCTTTACAGATTAGCTACACAGTTCTGTTTTAACTCTTTGCTAAATACAAATATTTCCTTAAGGAATCAGTTTGTCTTGCTTTTGTAAATTAAAGGGCTATAATGTATGGAAAACCAACATCTGTGTAATAAAAACCTATGTCATGGACTAATAAATCATTCTGATTGGTTCATGGTATACACTATTTATCACTGTAATGTGATACTTGGTGAGTTGTGACAGTTTCTCATCCTCTTTTCTTTAATTCAGAGAATGGACACTGTGCTGACCCTACAGCTATGCAAGCTACTGCTCAGCATGGCCGTGGTGACATTTGGAAGTTGCCTTTGAAGCAAAATGTGAATGTAGAAGCAGAGGTAACTAAACTGAGCTTGGGAAATATTTTAGGTAAACTGTTGTGCCAGGAAAGACTTAGATGTGAGATGAAGTTCCATTCTTGTTGTTCATCTAATGCTCTTGTGATGGAAAATAGACTTTGAGAGATGACAGGTTGCTTGTGTGTGACCCCTGGGTAATGTAGGCATAGACATTGGAGAAGACGTGAGTTGAATTCCTGCTCTTGTGGTAGAGGCACCTTGCTATTGGTAACCCTGTGGGGTCTACTGAAGAATGCATGAAGATGGCCCAGCACAGTGAACTAGTGGCGAAAGTCATTGTCTTCAGCACACCGAGATCTCGTATGGGCAATGGTTCTGATCTCAGTGGCTTGCTTCCGGTGCAGCCCATAAATTAAAAGCCACACATCAAAATCAGTATCAGAGAGAAAAAGAAATTAAACAACACCTTGAAGTTAAATAACATGCTACTAAAGGACTAACGTTTAGCTGAACAAATGAAAAACAAGAACCGGCTTGAAGAAAATGATGCTACTCTATGATCTATGAGTCAATGAATGAATTAATCAGAAGAAAGTGTTTTGAAAAGATGAAACTAGCAGAAAACAACAAGCCCCATGTGATATTGTTTCTCCTGGTTTTTCTTGGTGAAGTTTGTCTCTTCTAGAAAATAAATAGAGGGATTTTGCTTTTTAATCCAGTCTACTAAGCTATCATGTTTGTTGAGCTTAAGCCATTGACATTCAGAGTTTAAAATGTATGGATGTCTGGACTTTGGTCCTGTCATTTTGCTCTCCAGACGGATTTCAATGGCTAGAGCTGAGGTGACCCAAAGCCAGGAGCTTCTTCCTGGCCTCCTTCATGAGTGCAGGGGCACAAGGCTTCATATCATCCTCTGCTGCTTTCTGAGATCACAAGCATGGAGCTAGATAAAAGGTAGAGCAACCAGGACGTAATTTGCTATCCACATGGGATGCTAGAGCCTCTGTGCTCCTGATCCAGCCTCATGCTAATGTGCCTTTGAAATCCAAATACTCTGGCCCCTGCCCCCATGTGGGACACCTGACTGAAGCTCAGCCTTTTGTCATCGCCCTGTGCTAGCCTTTGTGGCCAACTGGGGAGTGAACCAGAGGGTGGAAGATATCTCTCTCCTTCTCTCTGTCTGCCATTTCCATAACAACAAAGTGAACAAAATGCTGACTTCTCCCCAGATGCTGCTTTAGCAAGACAAAACAGATTCCATCCCTAAGTTTCTAGATTTATCATGAGAATAGAAAAACAAATGAACCATCCTACAATTCTGGTATGCTTTTTCTTTTATCATGAGCAGGCTAAACAAGACTGTGGTTACTGCGCTCTGATGGATGAGGGATTTTGTGCCCACCTCTGATTGTTATCTATCCTGCTCCCCCACATCATCCTAAAACACTCAGCCTGGGCCAATGTCTTTTCAGCGCTCCCTCCTGGCTCCTGCTGCAGGAATCTCATTCATACAGACTATATTTGGTTTACTGAAGAGGGAAAAAAATGCTTATATGAGAGACAAAGCCAGAGAGAGAGAAAAAGACACAAAGAGATCTTCCCTCCACTGGGTCACTTCCCAAGCATGCAGCAGCTGGGGCTGGGCCAGGCTCAGCTCAGAAAGCTGACACTCCATCTACAACTCCTATATAGATGCTGGGACCTAGTATTTGACCCACCTCCTGGGTTCTCCAAGATGCATTACCCGGGAGCCGGACCAAATGCAGCTCCCTGCCGCTGAGAAGCAAATCCCCCGCAGGCCCAGACATGCCTGTGCCCAGTGCCAGCTCCCTCCCAGCCCAGACCCACACACAGCCTGTGCCCCTCTGTGGGAGGCTGCCATGGCAACGAGCACAACACAGGCACCTGCTTCTTGAAGGTGGTCACAGTTAGCTGCTGTCTAGGATGACATGCAGGCTTTGCTCTTAGATGCATTTATTTCCCTTTATTGAAGAAGCAGAGATAGAGATCTTTCATCTGCTGATTCACTCCTTAAATTCTTGCAGCATCCAGGACCTGGCTGAGCCAAGGCTGGGATCCCTATAAATGCAGTTGGGATAGAGAAGGAAATAAAGAATGTAGAAATTGGAAAGGAGGAATTCAGGAGAGACATGTGGGAAGAGTACATGATTTCGTACATGGAGAAATGTGAATATTCCATCAAATAGCTGATAAACGACTTCAACAAAACCATAGGATATAAATCCATATAAAAACAAGTGGCATTTTAATATACCCAATAATAATACTGCTGAAAGTGTCATCAAGAAGGAAATTTCAAAAACAAAATACTTGTGCATGGTGCAGTGGCCTAGCAGCTAAAGTCCTCATCTTGAATGTGCCAGTATCCCATATAGGTGCCAATTCTAATCCTGGCAGCTCCACTTTCCATCCAGCTCTCTGCTGGTGACCTGGGAAAGCACTAGAGGACAGCCTAAGAGCTTGGGACCTTTCACCCGTGTGGGAAACCCAGAGGAGGCTTCTGGCTTTGTATCAGCTTGGCTCTGGTATGATGGCCACTTGGGGTGTGACTCAACAGAGGGAAGATCTCTCTATAATTCATTCTTTCTGGTAAATCGGCCTTTCAAATAAAAATCAATACATCTTTAAAAAGGAAAAGAACAGGTGGCAATATTGGCATAGCTAACACAGATTTAGCATAAACCAGGTCAGGATGCCTGCTCTTTTTCCAGCAGTATAACACTTACCTAGGTACAATGTAACCTAAGCCATTGCTTATTTTTGAATAACAGAAAGACAGGGAGAAGAGAGGGAGACATCTTCTGTCTACTGGTCCATCCACCCTCCCACACCCTACCCAGTCCAGTGGCTACAACAGCCAGAAGTAGTACAGATTGAAGCTAGGAAGTGAGAGCTCTATCTGGGTCATCCATGTGGATACAAGGAGTCTTTAAGACAACTTCCACCACCTTTCTATGCACATTAGTAGGGAATTGAGAATGGAAGTGGAAAAGCTTGGACTTGAACTGGCAAATAAATGGGATTCTGATACTTTAGGCAGCAAGCTACTGTCGCTCTGCAATGCTGGGTCTTCCATGTATTTTATTCTAAGATGTTAATGGCTATTCTTCTAAACTGGTTTGGGAAAATTTGCTCAAATTTAAAATCTCTGCCAATAGACCTAAACCTGTTCCAAGGTGGGGGTATCTATTAGAGATCCATTCTCCAAAATACTGAATGCCTGTTGCCATTGTAGATGTTCCAGCATCACTGGACTCACCACTCAGAGGGCACCAGCCATGGGTCTAGAACAAGACTGAGATCCAGAAATACCCAGTGAAATTTGAGAAAAAAACAAATTATAATGTCTGCTTCTATACGTTCTAGAAGCAGCATTTGTTTCCCATTATAAAGCTTATTTTATTTCAAAGGCAAAGCAAGAACAACAGTAAGAGAGCAAGAGATATCCTCCATCTGTTAATTCACTCTCTAAATTCCAGCAATGGCCAGGGTTGGGCCAGGGTTGGGCCAGGGTTGTGTCAGGTTACAACAAAAGCCCAAAGCTCCCATTAGAGTATATCAAGTATGAGGACGGATCCAAGAACTTGAACTATTATCTGCTGTTTCCCAGGTTTGCATCAGGAAGCTGGAATGCAAAGAGAAGGGCATTTAACTGAGGGCACTGTTGTGTGGGAAGTGGGTGTTTCACAGTACCCATGCCTGCTTCTGCACTTCCAAAAAGAAAAAAAAATCTACACTTGAAAACCTTAATTATTTGACAGAGCCTAATTTCAATTATGTATTCTGGCATCAGTAGAATGTACATTTAAAGAATGTTGTAGAGTTGATGAAAGTCAAGGATGTTAGAGGAGCTTCATTAAATCCGGAGGGTTGTGGAGGAACAGAGGATGCTAAGTGGCTCGCTGGTCAACTTAGAACCATGTGGGTGATGAGATTGTTGATAGGCCCAATAGTCAAGCTGGAGGTTATGGAGGACTCTAGTGTAGTAAGAGGCCTGCTGGTCATCCTGCAGGCAAGTGGGGAATCTAAGTTGGTAAGAGTCCTGCTGGTCACCCTGAAGGCATGTGAAGAA